AATAGGAACGCGGCACTATTTATATCTTTGTTACTTTAATAACACTAGTAAGTGAGTCTGTGTGAGTGCCAGCGCACCAAGCGCATGACACCAGTAGATAATTATTTATTAATTATCTATAATTTACTGAAGACCTCATACATAATAGCTCACAAGTATTCACTATTTATAGGGTTCTATTACTCCCACCAATACCAATGATGGGGCACTATTACTCCCACTGACACCAATGGGGCACTATTCCTCCCACTGCCACCAATGATGAGGCACTATCTTTCCCAATGATGCCATTGATGGGGCACTATTCTTCCCACTGACACCAATGATAGGGTACTATTCCTCCTGCCAATACCAACGACGAGGCACTATTCCCCTGCCAGCACCAATGATAGTATACCATTCCTCCCACCAATACAAATGATGGGGAATTATCCCTACTCTTACTAACTACATACTCCTACTGACCACCAAGCCTGAGGAATTAATTACTTCCACTGATGCTGGGACATTGTCTACTCCCACTGGCACAGTTCGGCCCCCCTAAAGTCTGAAGGACAGTAGGCTGGCTGTTTGCTTAGAAAGTTTGGAGAGCCCTGTCTTAGATCATAGAGATAACCAGAGCTGTTCCAAACTGCCTGCTGCATTCTCAGGTTCCCCGGTGGGCAGGAGAGCCGGAGAAAGCCGTGGAAGGAAGTGGGAGGGGACATCCTCTTCTGCTGCTTGTAAAGGCAATCTGGTGGCTAAATTACTCATTAGGATTGCTTTTACATGAAAGCTGACTACCAGCTGACAAAAACAATACCAGGATAATGCCTGCAGCTGCATGCATCATCTTGGTATAAACACTCAAATTTCAGTGATGTACCAGTATATCACTGGTCCTTGTTGGGCATATACAGTATGTAATGTAGGCTGACCGAAAAAAGAGAACCTAACAGATTACTTTATTCATATTGATCAATGTGGATGAAGAAAGCTCTTCCAAAAAAAAAAAAAAAAAAAATATATGCCAAAGCATAGGAGCAATCTGTCCACTGACCACTCCAAGCACCTTTTTTAAGTGTGGATGAGAAATCTCATCCAGCAGCGCTGCACGCACTGATATAAATGTTCTGAGAGCAACACCCTTTTGTTGTCTGATTCACCATATCAGTGCTGCAGCTGATTGGCATTCCTGCAAAGCAAACAATGGTTAACAATAAAACACAGTAACAACATAACATTAACTCAATAAAACAGCAACTTTTATTTGTTTTACATTTTTGTTTTTTTTTTACTTTTGTAACTTTTTTGTAACTTAACCATAAACTTTCCAGCCTGTGATTTTTTGGGTCTCTCAAAATGTGATAGACCATTTCTTGACTACCTAGCATCTTTTGAGACCCTTGTGTGTGAATTGTGTACCCTAGACTATGTTGTGATGTACCTTAAACTAATACTCCACGAAAGCAGTCCTTGAAGCACATACCAGGTTGACTAGGACAGGAGGGACAACAAACTTTTGGGTCAGTGTACCAGGAAGTACATCAGGAAAATGCCTCTTTTGCAGTCAGCTCACTGCATCTAGATTTGGGTTTGGGCCACAGCACCTTCTGGATATAAAAAGGGGCCTGTGATTATCTCTTCCTGAAATTTTAGGAAGGATCCACTTCTTCTAGTTGCTTTGTAAAGCACAAAAGCATAGTACAGAGCCAATTGAAATAAATACACAGTGTTTTTGTACCAGTGTCTGGCTTTATAGAAAACTAAGGAAGACTTCATCATCTGGGCGTTAAAGTCCACCCCCCCCCCATATTAAGGTTATATTTGTGGACACAGAGGAGCTTCTCAACAACAACAGATGCTGTGCAAATTTTGTCTGTTGTGTCTGTGTGAATGGAAAACAGGACAAAAACATTATGTTTGTCCTTCCACTTCATTGCAAGCAATTTATATTCCACAAGCAGGCTTTCTCCCTCTTTCTAAGTCAGGTGTTCAGAATCTGTTGGTGGAAGCCCCTATGATTAGGTTGTACGGTATTACACGAGCCATCTCCATGATCAAATAAGTGTCTAAAAAGTGGTACACTTGCATAGTATTTGTCCACATACCAGTGGCACCCCTTTCAGAATAAGGCTGACACCAAGACTCATATTATTCTGCCACTGCTCCCCATGTAGTCTGGGTATATGGGGGGGCTTCACATGACTATCTTTTCCCTCCTAAAATCCTAAAAGCATATGTATAGCCTTTTGTCCTCTCACAGAGATCATACGTTTTGACCCCAGATCTGGCATGTTTGCTGGGGAGATACTGCTTCAATGCAAGGCACCAGAAAAATTAATAAGGGACTAATCTATGCAGATGTTTTGTTGAAGCGTATACACATATGCAAATTTCTGGGAAAAGTGATCTATGAGGGGCTGAATTTTGTAGAACCGATCATGTTCACGGTCACCACCAGGGGATGAAAGAGTGTATTATCACTAATGCATAAATCGCATTATATTCTTATATCTATGCCTGGCCATAGCAGCAGAGAACACGGGTATATGATGAATCGGGTCTGTGGACCAATACGATTGCAATGCCCAAAAAAATTTTAAACTCAGGAAACCGTGATACATTTCCATTCGAATTGTCTGGCAAGGTAGGAATTTGGGCGTGTGTTAGAATTTTTGGTGGCTGCGGAATGTTACTAGTGGTAGCCACCTTATCAGCTTGGACTGCACTTATTGGACTCACCATGTCACCAAGTGATACTGCAGTGCTTGGGCGTAAAAGGCCAGCATGTACTAGGCCGCTGGTGCAGTACTGGAACTTGTACTATGCTGCAAATAACAATCAGAATAAGAAACCTGGGCACAGGATTGGGTACGCCTCACTGTAGTAGGCACTTTTTCTTTTTTTGGGGTGCCACTGTTCTCCACAGGTTTGTATTCTAAATTGGATTCTGTCAGTGAGAACTGCCATTTGTTCTCATTTGACATACTCAGAATCCTATAGGCCTCTTCACTAGAGTACCTTTCTTTGAACATTTTGGCCACTAAATAAATAGGCACCTAGTGCGACTTATGGGAACAGGAACACCTGGCTGTCAGAGACTGCTTGAACCATTACAAATAAAATTCAACTGCTAATACTAGCAGAGATCTGGCCTGATTCTGCTAATTCTGTGGTTTTGTGTGCAATGTATCAGAAGTGACAGTGATCTACTGATATTGCACTAGTTGGGGGGAAGGGGGGCAGAAGGCCTAAACACAAGGGCTGGCAAGTGTTGGGCCTGATCCTACTAATGCTGTATTTTTGAAGACACTATACTAAGGGGAACACTAGTATAGTTCTGATCTAATCAAACATACTGAACCGCTCAGACACGATACTAGTAATGGAGGTTTATAATGTGTCTGTGATATTGTTGCTGGCAATCAAAGGGTTACATGTGATGGTGATAGTGTAGAGGGCAATCTGACACTATCTTGGAGGGATGCTAGCGCTATCTGAACTTGCTAGTGACACTAATACAGTGATCAGTAAAAAAACTCTACATTGTATAAATGAGACTGGTGACAGGGCAGTGAAAGGGTTAACTGGGGATGATCAAGGGGTTATATTGTGCCTATCTAGGTGTTTTACTGTGTAAGTGTGCTTCTTTACTCACTGTCACTGATTTCTTCTCTCAGGAGAGAGGATCACGTCGGTTCTTGTGTCTGTATTTTGTAAACACAGGCACAGCTGCTCTGTGATTTGATAGAACCGATCAGCAGGTCTAGGTGAAAAATCATTTGCCTGGACCTGATGACTGATCGGTGCTGTACTGAATCACAGCATCACCAGACCGCTGGGCAGGTGAACGTGCCCACTGCCCAGGATTGTGGATCACATACTAAGAACATGATCCAGCACAGGAGTTCAGCCTTATGTCTCAAAATGAAAAACAAAACAAAACAGTTTTTATACCTTTATTTGGCAGTATCCAGTGCCTGTCACATGACTCCATCTTCCTTCTGAGTCAAGGATCAGCCAGTGGGCATGTTTACTGAAGGCTAGTGACATCACTTCCAGGAAGTGATAGCCAGTGGGCGTATGCAGGATGGGAGGAGCTGATCATAGGTTCCCTGGTCAGTGCTCTCTCATGTATATGGATCCTTGTGAATCTTCATTCATGAGACAAATAATAAATAAGAAAAGAACAATTCACACAGGAGGGCCAAGAGGCCCAGTTGACATATACAGTATATCTTTGTGGGACTCTGAATCAAGACTACCACAGGAGAAGGTTGCTGGATGCAAGGGGAACAGTCAGTGTAACTGGAAATTCTCTGGGGTCTCAGCTCAGATCACAGTCTAAAGTGAACACTATGGGGTTGATTTACTAAAACTGGAAAGTGCAAAATCTGGTGCAGCTGTGCATGGTTGCCAAACAGCAAGCTGACTGGTTTCTATGCAGAGCTGCACCAGATTTTGAACTCTTCAGTTTTTGTAAATCAACCCCTATACCTTAACCACCTCCCACCCACCATATAAGGTAATGACGGGCGCAAGGCGGTTCTCTCGTTCTGGGAGGATGTCATATGATGTCCTCCCATTCTAAGCGCGCAGCACAGCAATCGGTAGTGCGTTGTGTCCCTCAGACTCAGTGGATCACCGATCAACGGAAAGAGCCAAAGATGTCGGCTCGGTCATGTAATCAGCTGTGTCCAATCACACCTGATCACATGTAAATAGGGAAATGCCGGTTATTGGCATTTCTCTCCTCATGAGCTGTCACGCTGACAGCTCCAGAGAGGAGAGCAGGTAATGGGCATCCTTCAGACGGGACACGTGCACTGATCATCAGGGCACTGATGATCAGTGTGCCCTGATAATCAGTGTTGCCCCAGCAGTGCCACCTGTCAGTGTCCATCAGTGCCAGCTGTCAGTGCTCATCCATGCCACCTGCCAGAGCCCATCAGTGCCACATCAATGCCACATATCAGTGCCTACCAGTGCACATCAATGCCACATATCAGTGCCCATCTGAGCTGCCTTTCAGTGTCACCCATCAGTGCCAGTCAGCGCCACCTATCAATGCCAGTCAGTGCCACTTATCAGTAGTGCCAGTCAGTGCTGCCTATCAGTGCGCATCAGTGTTGCTTAACACTGCTACCTATCAGTGCCAGTCAGTGCTGCCTATCAGTGCCACCTATCAGTGTCGCCTGTCAGTGCCATATATGAGTGCTACCTTTCAGTGCCCATCAGTGATGCCTGTCAATGCCCATCAGTGCCACCTACCAGTGCCTCCTCATCAGTGCCACCTATCAGTGCCCATCGCTGCAGCCTCATTAGCGCACATCAGTGAAGGAGAAAAAATCACTTATTTACAAAATTTTATAACAAAAACTAAGAAAAAACATTTTTTTTTCAAAATTTTCAGTGGTTTTTGGTTTGTTTAGCAAAAAATAAAAAACCCAGAGGTGATTAAATACCACCAAAAGAAATCTCTATCTGTCTCAAAAAAATGATAAAAATTTCATATGGGTACAGTGTTGCATGACCACGCAATTGTCATTCAAAATGTGACAGCGCTGAAAGCTGAAAACTGGCCTGGGCAGGAAGGGGGTATAAGTGTCCTGTAGGCTAGTGGTTAAACTGGTTCTAAAGTCTCAAGGTTTTTTTTCACCTTCATGCATTCTATGCATGAAGGTAAAAAAACTTCTGTGTGTAGCAGCCCTCCCAATCCCCCCTAACACTTACCTGAACCCTCTTTTGATTCAGCAATGTCCACAAGAGCATTGGTTCTCAGGGGACACTCACTCCTGATTGGCTGAGGCTGCTCTCAATAACAGCCAGTGAGCCAATCAGGAGAGGGAGGGGCAGAGCTGAACCATGGCTCTGTGTGTGAATGGAGAGTTGCGGCTCAGGAGCGCACCTACTTGGGTACCCCCATAGCAAGCTGTTTGCTATGGGGCACTCGACAGGAGGGAGGGGTCAGGAGCACTGGCAGAGGAGCAAGCAGAGGAGGATCTGGGATGCTCTGTACAAAACCACTGCACACAGCAGGTAAGTATAGTCATGTTTGTTATTTTTAAGAAAAAAAAAACAACAACAAGACTTTAGTATCACTTTAAGTGCTGGTTCACACCAATGCAGTACGGGAAAATTCATGTGACTCAGACATGGATCGCACCACATTCCTGTTCAAATCAGATGCAATTCTTTGCAGTGCGATTTGATCCCATTAATTTTGTATGGCTCAAATCACACCGCACCTGCACAAAATAGATGCAGGCACCTTTTTTTTTGCTCTACTGGAATTGGATCATATAGGTTTGAATACCCATGCAATCCGATTCAGCCAATCAAATTGGTTTTGGGGTGTCATAAACCTAACATTGACAACTGCAGCCATTCACATGAATGGAGTACAATTGTGATGCGGTGTGGGAAAAGCACAGGAATAGCTGCACATCACTGTGAACGAGTACTATTTTCGCATACTGTAATTCCACCTTATAGTGTGAGTGTAACACACAGCAAACAGAAAACTCCATATGATTCAGCCTTGTAGTGTGAGTGTAAATGCACAGCAAACACTAAACGCCACCTGATTCCACCTGGTAGTGTGAGTGTAAATGCACAGCAAGCAGAAAACTCCACATGATTCCACATTGTAGTGTGATTTTAACTCAAAGTGTGCTGTAAAATCCTCAGGAATCCACTTTGTAGTGTGCGTATGTGCTGTGTGTGTTTGGTACTGTATATATTTTTTATTATTATTATACAGGATTTATATAGCGCCAACGGTTTGCTCAGCGCTTTACATTATAGTGGGAGACAATACAGTAACAATACAGTTCAATACAAGAGGGATTAGAGGGCCCTGCTCCTCGGAGCTTACAAACTAGGAGGGCGGGGTGAGTGGTACAGTAGGTAGTCACTGTGGGGGATGGAGTGGTTGGAAGAGTAGAGGATACCAGAATAAGCAGAGGGCGGAATAGGCTTCCCTGAAGAGAAAGGTTTTCAGTGAACACCGAAAGGCAAGTAGAGTAGGTGATAATCTGATAGATTGGGGTAGGGAGTTCCAGAAGATGGGTGACACCCTAGAGAAGTCTTGGAGATGAGCATGGGAGGAGGAGATAAGGGAGCTAGAGAGTGAGAGGTCTTGTGAGGAGCAGAGTGTACGGTTTGGGTGATATCACAGGTCTGCAAAAATTTTTTTTTACAAGAGCTGTTTTGGTTATTCCACGTAATCTTTATGTTTTTGGGTGCGCTGAATCCGAAAATGACCTTCATTTTGTCATAGGACATCACGTTTCCTGACAATTTAGGTAACTATGTTAAATAAGGCAATACCTCAAAATAAATGTAAATAGACTTATAAAATTAAAGTTTTATTACAATTTTTTCATGAAAGTCCTTTTTTGAACTGAAATGAGCTCACCTACACACACTAAACTCGATTCTTCTTCCCTGTGAGGCTCCTCTTGGTGCTTTTACGCTTGTGAGTAGCATCTGGAATGTCTCTCTGAAGCATCCAACAGTAGTCTGCCATCATTGTAATGCTCCATTTTCCCTGGTATCTCCTTTCCATCTCTTTAATGTCTTGGTGAAATCATTCACTTTGTTCCTCACTCACAGCTCCCAAATTTTCAGGAAAGTAGTCAAGGTGGGACTGGAGGAAATGTACTTTCAAACTCATCAGACAACCTAAAGCTTGAAATGCTTTCAGCATTCGTCTGACGATCTTTTTGTAGTGAGGAACCTTGTTATTGCCTAAAAATTTCTGTACGACTTTTTTTAAATGCAATCCACCCTTCTTTGAGGATCCGTCATGGTATTGACAAACTCTTGATCAACTATAAGCCTTCTAATGTCTGGTCCGACGAACACACCTTCCTTCAATTTTGCCTCCGGCAGGCCTGGAAACTTGGTGACTAAGTATTTGAAGCATTCTCCATCTCTTGGAAGTGATTTTATGAATTGCTTCATCAATCCCAATTTTATGTGGAGAGGTGGTAGAAGAACTTTATGGGAAGTTACCAAAGTTTTTCGTAGGACATTTTTTTTCACCGACTGTTAGCACCTTCGGTTGCCAACTCTTCTTGGTCCAGTGATTTTGTCGGTCTCGACTGTCCCATAGCCACAGAAAACAAGGGTATTTGGTATACCCAGCATGTTGCCCGAGCAGCATGCACAAGACCTTCAAGTCCCCACACACTTGCCATCCATGGTCTTCATATTTTCATGGTCTTCATACTGTATATTCACTCAGAGCAGCACTTGTATTCACCCTCTTTGCAGGGGGGGAGGGGCACAGATTGTTTACCTGGAAATAACAACAAAGGGCCAGAATAGAACTAGGGAAATGAGGAAATAGAATTTTTTTCCCTAAAACTTGCTTAGCTTATGTATATTTTGCTGACAATCAGATTTATAGTGCTATATTTTTTTTACATCACTCAGACAACCCCTTTAAGGTTTTTTTTGGCATTTTATATCTTAAATGCACTTATGTGAATTAATTAATAGTAATTTGGACTTTAAATTTGGTTAAAAACCCATAATGTAAAAAAAAAAAAAAAAATTAAAAAAATTTGATAAATTTGAAGACAATTTTGCATTTTGTGGCAAATCATGACATCTAGGAGTTTTTTCAACATTTTATTTGTTTTTCAGCACACCAAAATACATGGAAATTAGTTGAAAATAATCAAACAGCTTTTTAGTCGCAGACCTGTGATTTAGAGATCAGATTGGTTATGTAAAATGGGGCAGTGTTGTGGATAGCTTTATTTGGCATTGTTAGAGTTTTGAATTTTATCCGTTGAGCAACTGGGAGCCAGTGGAGGGATTGGCAGAGAGGGTGGCGGATACGGAGTGGTTAGTGAGGTGGATGAGTCTGGCAGCAGAGTTCATGATAGACTGGAGGGGGGATAGTCTACGATGAGGTAGGCCAATGAGGAGGTAGTTACAGTAGTCAAGGCGTGATATGACAAGGGAGTGAATGAGTAGCTTAGTGGTTTCCGGGGTTAGGAACGGTTGTATCTTGGAGATGTTGCGGAGATGAAGTCTACATGATTTTGTCAGCAATTGGATCTGGGACTGGAAGGACAGATGGGAGTCTAGGATTTCACCTAGTACCCTGGCATGAGGGGATGGACTGAGGATGGTGTTAGCGATATTTATGGTGAAGTCAGTGGGTGGGGGTAGCGTGGGCTGGGGGGAATACTAGGAGCTCAGTTTTGGAGAGGTTAAGTTTGAGGAAGTGGAGTGCCATCCAGGCCGATATGTCGCTTAGTAGGCTAGCGATGTGGGTGGAAACTGAAGGGGTGAGGTGTAGACAGATAGATTTGTGTGTCATCAGCATAGAGATGGTAGTTGAAGCTGTGGGAGTTTATCAAGTGACCAAGGGAGGAGGTGTAGATGGAGAAGAGAAGGGGTTCAAGGACAGAACCTTGGGGGACCCCTACAGAAAGAGGGGTGAGTGAGGAGGGAGGAGGTGGCAGCGTTATAGGTACAGTGTGTGTGTGTGTGTGTGGTGTTGTATACAGGTACAGTGTGTGTGTGTGTGTGTGTGTGTGTGGTGTTGTATACAGGTGCAGTGTGTGTGTGTGTGTGGTGTTGTATACAGGTACAGTGTGTGTGTGGTGTTGTATACAGGTACAGTGTGTGTGTGTGTGTGTGTGTGTGTGTGTGTGGTGTTGTATACAGGTACAGTGTGTGTGTGTGTGTGTGTGTGTGTGTGTGTGTGTGTGTGTGTGTGTGTGTGGTGTTGTATACAGGTGCAGTGTGTGTGTGTGTGTGGTGTTGTATACAGGTACAGTGTGTGTGTGTGTGTGTGTGTGGTGTTGTATACAGGTACAGTGTGTGTGTGTGTGTGTGTGTGTGTGTGTGTGTGTGTGTGTGGTGTTGTATACAGGTACAGTGTGTGTGTGTGTGTGTGTGTGTGTGTGTGTGTGTGTGTGTGGTGTTGTATACAGGTACAGTGTGTGTGTGTGTGTGTGTGTGTGTGGTGTTGTATACAGGTACAGTGTGTGTGTGTGTGTGTGTGTGTGTGTGTGTGTGTGTGTTGTATACAGGTGCAGTGTGTGTGTGTGTGTGTGTGGTGTTGTACACAGGTACAGTGTGTGTGTGTGTGTGTGTGTGTGTGTGTGTGTGTGTGTGTGTGGTGTATACAGGTACAGTGTGTGTGTGTTTGTGTGTGTGGTGTTGTATACAGGTACAGTGTGTGTGTGGTGTTGTATACAGGTACAGTGTGTGTGTGTGTGTGTGTGTGTGTGTGTGTGTGTGTGTGGTGTTGTATACAGGTACAGTGTGTGTGTGTGTGTGTGGTGTTGTATACAGGTACAGTGTGTGTGTGTGTGTGTGTGGTGTTGTATACAGGTGCAGTGTG